TCTGTTGGCCATCAGTGTGTCTTCTTTGGAAAAATGTCTATTCAGGTCCTCTGCCCATTTTTTAATTGGATTTTTTTTTATGTTGACTTTCATGAGTTCTTCATATATTTTGGATATTAACCCCTTATCATATATATCATTTGCAAATGTCGTCTCCCATTCAGTAGGTTGTAGTTTCATTCTGTTGATGGATTCCTTTGCTGTGTAAAAGCTTTTTAGTTTAATGTAAACCCATTTGTTTATTTTGCTTTTGTTGCCCTTGCCCAAGAAGATATATCCAAAAAATAAAATATTGCTAAGACTGATGTCATAGAGTTTGCTGCCTATGTTTTCTTCTAGGAGTTTTATGGTTACAGGTCTTACATTTAAGTCTTTAATCCATTTTGAGTTTATTTTTGTACATGCTGTAAGAAAGTAGTCCAGTTTCATTTTTTACATGAATCTGTCCAGTTTTCCCAACACCATTTATTGAAAAGACTGTCTTTTTTCCACTGTATTCTTGCTTCCTTCCTTGTAGATTAATTAACAATATAAGTGTGGGTTTATTTCTGGGCTCTCTATTCTGTTTCTTTGATTTATGTGTCTGATTTTGTGCTAGTACCATACTGTTTTGATTACTATAGCTTTGTAGTATAGTTTGAAATCAGGTAATGTGATAGCTTCTTTCTCAAGATTGTTTTGGCTATTTGAGGTCTTTTGTGGTGCCAGTATTTAAATAAGGTCTTCCTTTTGTTTTATTTTGTTGTTATTTGTATATGATGGCTTTTGATTTCTATATTAGTTTCACTCCTAGCCATCTTACTGAATTTTCTCAAGAGAGAGTTTTTTAGCTGATTTTCTAGTTTTCTAGATAAAGTTATATCATCTGCAAATAGCAACAATATTACCTCTTACCTTGCATTTTTTTTAACTGAATGTCTGTCTCTCTGACTTAATGGAAATACTTTTAGTATTTTCCCATTAAGCATTAGGCCCCTAATGGTTTTTTACTTCATAAAGACACTTTTCAATTCCCACGTAAAATGATTCTTGCCCGGTTGTCCATGGTTAGTTGAAAGGGCTCAAGTTAGAAAGGTCTTCATTATATTGGGCAGACATCAGCCTCCTAGTGGCTTCCTTTCATTTGTCCTCTGAAAAAACAGAAGAGGAGACCAGTTTCATTCACATGGCAGCCCTTCAGACTTTTGAGGAGACAGTGGGTCTCCTTAAAAATGTTTCCCTCTGCTTTACAGCATTGGAGTTTAACAAATGTCCTTTGTCCTACCAGTGAAGAGATGAGCAAATTGAGTCCATTGAAGGCCTGCTGAGCACACAGCACCATGATTGTACTACATGATGTGATTATGCTCCACCAGCAATCAGCTTACTGGCTGATGCATCAGGGTTTCTAGATGCTTCCTTGCCCTTGCATTGCTGCAAACTACACATATAAAATCACCTCTTTTCCATGGCACTGTGGTACTTTTAGTGAAAATCCCACGCTTATTACCCAAAATGAGACCTTTGGATTCATGTTTCTTATTATCTTTTGAATTTTGTTATTGGTTCTAGACTTCTAACATTGATCAGTCATATTATCAATAAGGCTAAAATCCCTTCTTACTGAAGCACCAACAACTTGTGTTTCATGTGCCGTCTAATCACTTACCTCAGTTTGGCTATTCTGTGAATTTGAATTCTACTGCAAAATGCAAAGCTCACTGTAAGTCATGTGGATTCAGTTGCAATTATGACAAGCTCTTGGTTTTGAAATAAAAAATTATAATCTCTGGAAGGGTGCCACTTTTCAGATTTCAAATTCCAAAATTTTTGAAATTTTCATTTGGCTTAAAAGCAGGGATAGCTAACAAGAAGACTTTTGTGACATTTAAGGTCAGACAGAATAAATAGTCATGGAAATGAACCATTTGTATCTGAGCTGTTTTGCTTTGTTCTTGGTGCTTGAGCATAAGATGACAACTTATAAACGATAAAACACTACCACATTTCATCTTACTTTCATTTTCATGCTGGTGATTTTATTTCACAGATTCAGTGAGAGCATTGTGTGTATTTGTCAAGTCTGCAAGACCTGTTCAGGTACTGAAAGCAGAATCTGATCCCATATTTTGGCTTTAGGACCTTGTAAACCTTTATTTTTGTTTTTTGTTTTTTTATTTATTTATTTTTCTGATAAACACTAATTCTTTTATTTATTTATTTTATTTATTTTTAGTATTAGTTTCAGGTGTACAGAACAATGCAATAGTTATCCTTTACACCCCTCACAAAGTAACAACTGCCCTCCCACCCCTGCTATCATACTTCTCTATTACAATTCAATTGACTCCATTCCCACACTCTACTCCATGTCCTGTGACTATATGTATATGTAATTATAGTTGACATACAATATTATTCAACATCAGCTTCAGAAATACAGTGCGGTAAAACCTTCATTTTCTAAATGAGTGATAAGACATAGCATACAGTTGACTATAGTATGGGATTTCTTCCTTGACAGACTTCATAAAATTTAAGAGCAAACACCCAAAAAACAGCATCCTTGGCATTTAATAACCTGATGGTTACAAAATAAAGCCGATATGTACTATCCAGTTCGTAGAGATGAAATTTCCTCACTTATCCTTGCCATTTCCCCCTCCCCCAGAGACAGGGCCTGAGCATATGATGTGATCAATTAAATATTTTAATTATAATATTATAATTAATGTACATTTTAAATGATTCTTAAGTCATCAATTCAAATAAAATAAGCAATATATCTACCCAGAATAATATTCTCGATATTAATCATGAAATATATTCTTAATCATAGGACATATTTTTCATTAATTACTGACACATAATTAGTTGTCAGTGGACATGTGGCTCAATTATATCCATCCATTCTCAGCACATCTAAAGATAGTACTCTCTGAGGTTCTTGGTCAGGTGGTAGATTCTGAAATAACAACCAATAACATTTGAGGAGTTTACATTGACCTTTCTGGACGCAAGCACTAAATAGCAGATATACAAATAGACCCAGGCTGCTCCCCTCCCCGCCTCCCTTGCCTCTGAGGAACGCTGGGAGTTTTTGTGCTTTTAGAAATGAGAGAGGGGGTGGAGATTGTTACTCTGTACAGATTTTATGCTTTTAAAAACTTCTACATTTATTTGTTTTCTGAGTCAATGATACTTTTTCCTTTTCCTGGTTCTTCATATAATTCTCTAGGTAGGTTGTGAGAAGTGAAACAAAGAAGTCAACAAAAGTACAAATAAGCTGGAAAAAAAATTATCTGTGGATGAACAGTGGCCACTATTTGATTCTAAAGCTTTTGTGGTACATTCATTAAAAACAAAACAAACAGAAAGAAATACAAAAGCAAACAGTTATTAAAAACCCCCCAAAATCCACCTATTCTGAGCACACACATGAAGGCTATTATACTATTGTTTTCATTGACTGCTGTCCAACGCACATCTCCCAGGAACAGCACCCTAGCTCTTGAGCACTCCCGTGAGGAATTCTTTCATTAGTAAGGAGCCTAACTTGGTACGCTCTCTCTAAAGCTTCTCCAAATGGAGGCCAAAAGGAAGAGCATTTGTGTGCTTTATTTGTATGATGCCCTATGCCATGATATCAAGCAGATTAAAGAGAACAGAAAAAAAGGCACAGAACAAGTCTCGCTCACTGGCAACTCCAGAGAGCTCTGTCTTCAAATCCAGCAAGTCCATTAGTGTTTAAACGGCTGGGCTGTTACAGTGTGCTTGCCAAGCCTGCTGCCCGTTAAATACCACTGCCATCACTTTCTTCTGATGTAAATGGGATTTAAGAATTGCAGTTTGGGGGATTTTATTTGGCAATTAGAATTCTGTTTTCTTGCCAGGATTATGCGCGTCTTAAAAAATACTGTCTCCTTTAGAGGTCTTCAGTTTTTATAACTTTAGCATGGTGGCCGTGTACAAAATCAGCACTCACCTTAAGTTTTCCACAATTCCAGATCTGTTAATATGATAATTAGGATCTTGGTATTGTAGATTGTGTTCTGAATTTAAAAAAAAAATTGTCTGGTTTTATATCAAAAAGCATTTTGGAAATCATACATTGGACAAAAGTTGACAAAGGTAGAAATGATTTGATAAAGTGATCTTAGTGAACAATGACCATCTTGTAGAATCTTGCTTGCAAACTCTGGTGGTCATTAAAGGAGAAAAAGAAAATAAGTTATTTATTATTAACAAAAGATTTTCATTCTGTCATCGTAAGAAACATCCAAACCTGTAAAGAATTTTAATGAGTATATTTTAGCCAAACTGATGACAATTGCCAAGAAGCAAAATTTCAACGGATTAAAAAATTCTCCAGAGAATGACAGTTTTGCAGCTTACTTTATACATCAGAACCAAAGGAGGAGATGTAAGGAGTTTTATGTGATATTCACTGGTAGTAGATTAAGGGGGTGGGAAAAAGCAAAGTGGAGAAATCTTTGGGATAGATAAAAAGTAAAATGGAGGGAGAGTCACATACTTCTTTTATATTTGTGAGTACATGACAGGGAATAATTAACATTTTACAGCACGTAGAGATGGTATTTGGGGAACAACATAGCAATGAGGGGTTCTGTGGCCTTGTGCTCTGGTGCTAGTAGTTGTGCCCTGAGAGGTCCAGAAAAAGGGGTTACTCTGACATTCCAAAGATCTATTATTCTAGATGCAAAAAGACAATAGACAGACTTACTTAAAGTAAAGATTAACATTTGTCAAGGAATCTACAGGCCCAAGATGTGACTACCTGTCATGATTTGCTTTTAGTAAGGAATTTTTATGTTCAGACCGTCCTATGTGGTTCATTTCAGCCTCTTGAATTTGTAGGGTCCACCAGTCTGGCCTCCTCTTAGCTTGTCAGGTTTAGTATGTTGCCCCTTTTTCATTCGCAATTCACTATAGGATTGAATATGATGAGTCCTCTAGCAGTGGTGTTATATTTATAATTATTATTCTCCCTTTCTATTTAGATCTTTCTCTGGAATTAAAGGACTCCAGCTGAAGGTTAACCTCCAGCCCAATGATAATTACTTTTTCTATGTGAGAGCCATCAATGCTTTTGGGACAAGCGAACAGAGTGAAGCTGCCCTCATTTCCACCAGAGGTACTTTCTCCTTTGTACACAGCAAAATATTTTTTTCCCATTCTTTCCCTTCTACCACCCAGAGAAGACATCCTAGAGAGCAACTTCTTAAAGGCTCCAACCTGCTGGCTAGGTTTATGGCATGAGGACCTAAGAATACTCAAGGGTCAAGATGATTCATTTATATTTTCTGGTTTAGAGGTTCTCAACCTTGGCTACCCATGAGCAGTCTGTCAGGGTGCTTAAAAATCACTGATGCCCAAGCCCGGCTCCTGGAGATCCTGATATAATTGATCCGAAGATGGGCTCTGATGTGTGTTTTTAATCTCCCCAGATGATTCTTGTTTGTCTCAGAATTCGTGGGTATGTTTTGAGTGTGCGTGGGATGGGATATTTTTATTTTATTACATTGTGAACGTTATGAACGAGCTTCCAGTCTTAGTCTTCTGTTTATTTGTTCATGCCTACCACATTGTTTGTGCCAATTCATGTTTGTTGAATGAAGAATGAATGAGTGAATGAATGAATAACTCAAGGAGGTGATAAAATGGTTCAGTAACATTTTGCAGAAAATACCCAGATGATGCCAACAAAAAATGTTCAGCTGTTCTCAATTATTGTGAAAAGAACTGAGGAATGGAAAGGTGGTCATTTTATTATTTTATCCTAGACCCAAAGATGGCACAAGATGTAGGGTGGCACATTAAGTGATTGTGGATGTGCCTCGTTTGCGATGTTGTTAGGGACAGCCTAATATTTCTTAAGAGAAGACATGATGGCTGCCTGCCTAGAAATGTTTTCACTACCGTCGCAGCATGGTGCCTGCACCTTCCACAGCTGGGGCCACTCCTTTAGGCTACGCCAGGGCATCTTCACACTTGAACGTGAACATGAATCTCCTGAGACTCTTGTTAAAATACCGATTCTGAGTCGGTAGGTCTGGGAGAGAGGGGGGGCCTGGGAGGCTGCATTTCTAACTAATTCCCGGGTAATGTAGATGCTGCTGGTGTGAGGAGCACACTTTGCGCAGCAGAGCGAGCTCTGTGCGGGAGGCACACCAGGAGAGGTAACCAGCCCCGGGCATCCGCTAACGCCTTCCGGAATTTTCAATGTGGATCTGAAAACACTGCGCAGGGGATTTTGACGTCAGGGGAAAGGGAGACTAAGGCCTGAGGTATGGGAGCTGGCCTAGGGACAGCACTTGACATGGTGGCAGTGTTACAACCCTATTTTCTTAACCTCAATAGGAACCAGATTTCTCTTGTTGAGAGAAACGGCTCATCCTGCTCTGCAGATTTCCGCGAATGGGACAGTGATCAGCTTCACCGAGAGAAGACGGCTGACAGAGTAAGTTGAAGAAGAAAGTAGGAGATGCCTCTGCAACAGAGTATTCTGAGGTCGTGTCACCTCACTGTGGCCTCACTGTGCATATTTTTGTTTTAATGAGCGTGCCTGGGTCGTGGTGTCGAATATACATGTGTATGCACCCATACGGTTTGGTTCTGGTATTTAATAGGGGGAAAGTGAAAGATAGTTCATAACTTGGAGCACATGTCAGTATTTTTATTGGAAATATAAGCACAGATGGCTTGTGTAAAACATAGGCTGTTGTAAGGTATTGTCTCTGGTTTAATGAAAAAAGAATCCAGGTTAATTCTTCTAGGATTTTCAGTAGCAAACCAGATTTTGCATCCCTCCACTTGAAAAGGAATAGAGGAGAATGACATAGTTTTGAGTTTCTAGCTTTGGCCACATGTAGGACTTTCAGGCTTTTCAGACTTTCTTGCCCACCCCCCTACCCCAGCTCCCACAAAAAGAAACATCAAAGTAAAGAAGAGCCAGAAGCTGAGGGAACAGTGGGGAGACTACAATTTGCCTGCCATCTCTCATGGTTATTTTGAGGGTCAAAAAGGTCAAATGGAAGAAAATACCTGAAAGTCTTTTGAAAACACAGGCTGCTGTTGGCACTGATGTGCCCTGGTGTGGGCTGCCAGCAAGCTCTCAACAATAAAGCACTGAGCCAACCAACAATGACTTGCACTGTTTTCCTATCAGGTTGTTATCCACCTGTCTGTGGTCCAGCTCAGGTGTTACCTGCTCCTAGAAGCTGCCAAGCCTTCTCTGGCCCTGGCACCCTCTGATCTTATCTGTGAAAAGGCCTGAGCAGGGCGGAATCATTTTTCAGCCACTCGATCTTGAAAAATCCTCAAGCAGCAGCCCTATCTTCTGCATCTTTGAATCCCCAGAATGTAGCATGGGGCCTGGAACACCATAGATGCTAAAGATATACAAATGAGTGAATTCAGGGGGGAAGAAAAAAAAAATTAACTAATAGATTGAACAGATTGAGCTTTTCTGACTTTTTTGGACTTCTCAAAAAATCAGAAAGAATAGAAATAGGTTGGTTGGTAAGAGTTCATACATAATAACTGGCGATAACTGTAATGTATTTTATAGAATGTTATTTGTTTATTATTAACCTAAAAATTAGCTCATAGATATCAGGCGGGCGGGCTTTGCTCCAGAGAGCAAGGGCCTGTCAGTAGCCACCTCCCTGAAATGAGGTTGTTGGGTAAAGATATGAGAAAATGAAACACATTCCCTTGCATTAATCATTTTCTCATCTATTAAAGGGGAGAGGGAGAAGGTGCTGATTGAATATTAACGCTGCTTAAATAAAAAAAATGCTTCCATGCTGCCTCAGCCACTTCAAAGCAAAATTGAGCAATTCATGCAAACAAGGTTACCCATCAGCAGTTGAAAGTGCTTGGTTCATTTCCCAGTGCCTGTTATAAAAATAGCGAAGGTGAAACAGAAAGAGACCTTTCAACAACCTCTCAGGCACACCTACTACAATCCAAAGAGGCCAGAGTCCCAAAGACTGTTGACTACAAGTCGGTGCAAAGCATGCTCATCCCACGTGGTCAGCTCCACATTGTGCTCTGCTCTGGACTCACCAGGTGTCTGGCTGTTCAAGAGCAGCACCGTGTTGGTCTCTGTGCCCAGTTAAGTCAGCACACACTGGAACTCATTGTTTAAAAAGGTTTTCGAGATGCTTTTTTGCAAGTTTTGGAAGAAATCTTTGCAAGTCGTTTCCTTGGAACTCCCTACCTGCCTCCCTTGTATATTCTTACTCTCTTTGAAAGCAGAGGCTGTGCCATTTCTTTTTATCCTGCCATTATTCTAATTACTTCCCTGTTCCCCGCTCCTTCAAGAGATGCTTATACAGACCATGCATCTTGTGTGTGGCGGTGGAAATATGTCAAATGCATACTGAAAGTTTAAGGAATTCTGTGGTGATCAGGTTGGTGTCAGGGGCACGATGAACAACAAATGTCTTCAGTCAAATTTCAGCAGTTTCCAAGGGTAGAATCCTGCTTAAACTGTGTGTGAGTTTGTGAATGTTGATGTCTATGAGATCAAGGCTGGTGAATCCTGATTAACTTTGCTTACAGGATCCCATCCGTGCTGGGTGAGGAGCTGCCTGCCTGTGGCCAACATTACTGGGAAACCACGGTCACGGACTGCCCAGCTTATCGACTTGGCATCTGCTCCAGCTCCGCTGTGCAGGCTGGTGCCCTGGGACAAGGGGAGACCTCGTGGTACATGCATTGCTCTGAGCCACAGAGGTAAGCTGGAGCCCTGCCTTCCCCTCTTCATCAAAATATTGTGAGTTGATGTCAGGCAGAGATGTCTGAGGGCCTAATGAATGGCATCCCCCTTCCCTGCCCAAGTTCTGAGCCAACTGAGAAAGAAAACAAGAGAGTCAAGTATATGGAGACTAAAATATTCCTCTGATTAGTGAAGAAGCAAATTTAGAGAATGTGGTTTATTCCTGAGAACAAGAAGGTTTTTGGTTTTTTTTATTGAGCTCTATTAATAGACAGGCTTATGCTCACCCAAAGCCTTGTCCAGGCCAACTTCCCTGCCCTGCAAGGCAGAGCTGGTCCCTTGGGAAGCTCATAACCAAGAGATAGAGAAGAGGAAGGGGCATTCGGGCCATGCACAGCCCTCTGTTCCTTCTAAACTCACCCCGGAGTGGGGAAAGACCACATGGGTAATAATGCTAAAAGGGCTTCCTCGACAGAGAAGGAATCAACAGGAGTGAGGAAGAAGTGGCTCTACAATACCCTCCCCACATTAGTCTATATTAGGAGTCGGCAAACTGTAGCCCACAGGCCAAATGTGACCTACTGCCTGTTTATGTAAATAAAGTTTTATTGGAACACAGTCATGCTCATCTGTTTACATATTGTCAATGGTTGCTTTTCTGCTCCAATGGCAGAGTTGACTAGTTCCAACAGAGACTGAATGGCCCCCCAAAGCCTATGGTATTTACTATCTGGCCCATTACTGAAAAAGTTTACTAACCTCTTGTCTGTATTATTATTATTGTTTAGCTGGTTGATGTGAAAAAGCTATTAACCTGTGTTAGTCTCAGGAAGTTAAGGACAACCATGTTATTATGATCTAACTATGCTCACAGGATGGTCTATTAAAAAAGCACTGGACTGGGAGCTAGAAACCTGATTTAAGTCCTGGCTCCAGCCTATTGGGTACTCACCAGAAGTGGGTTAACCCTTTGGGCATAACTGATATTCCTTACCTATTTTGTCAGGGGACAGTGATGACTGTTCTGCTACCTTTTAGGGTTTTATAAGGATCACATGAAATCAGGTACAAGGAAGAGCTTTGAAATTGTAAAGCATCATACAGTGTGAGACATTAAAGCATCAAATGTAATGCTTTAAAAAGGAAGCCTTCAGTGCTTGCAAATTCCCAGAGAAAGGCCCACAGTTTGGGATTTTGTATATATCGGGTGCATATTTCTCCCTGCATCCTGCTTGACAGTTTAATTCTCTGACATGGTTCATAAGGACGCCATCTCCAAGAGCTATTTAAAGTCACATTTCATCAAGGCAGAGCAATTATGATTAATTGATATTCAGCACTGTGCAATGCTTAAGGACCCAGCCCCTACCCAAAGTTGAAAATCACTCAAACCTGGAGTTTATAATCCGTAGATTTAGAGCTGAAACTGTATATTGATTTCATGAAAATTTCCTTAGAACACAAACCAAAGACCAGCCTCCAGTAACAAATTTCTAAACTCTAGAAAACAGAATTGTATGCTCAACAGTTTCAACAACTTTGGTCTTTGGCTCTTTCAGGATGAGGGTAGGGTCAGCACATTCAGGGAGGTAGAGGGTGCCCACCTCTGTGATCACAGCACAGCAAGGTTAGGCCTCAGGTGCCTTCATTTCATGTTTCAAATTAGAGCACTCCTGACCTGTAGGACACTGAGAGAACTGCTATCGCAGACCCTCCTATGTTTTTCACTTTTTCTGGCATCATGATTTTAAACCAAGCAGTATTACTTTTGATTCTATTTGCATAAAATCCAAGCTTTAAGAGTCACAGTTGGAAAGGAGTAATGAAGAGAGTCTGAGGAGAAAGAATCAACTGGGTTTCTTCCTGTCCATTCCTGACAACCCTAGCTCAAGGCGTCCACACCTCCTTTACCAGTTTCATCCCCAGCCACCGTGCCTGTACCCTTCTGGTCTCCATCAACGCCAAGCCACCCTATGTGCCACAACTGGCAACTATTTCTAAAGCATCATTTTCATCATGCCCTATACTTTCTGCTCAGAAAGCCACAGACATTTACAGTGGTGTCAGAACTTGGGTGGAATCACAGTGAAGATGAGAAGTCAGAAAAAAATGTGACCAGGCTAAACGATAAGGAGCCTTGAGGAGAGTAGCCACCAGGGTCGAAACGGGGCCTGGGCTGTCTGCGCCAGCAGTGAGATTCACGGGGGTGGGTCCCACTCAGGGTGGGGGCCTTAGCACAGGCAGTTCCAGGGTCACACAAATGTCTAGAGTCTGGCTTCTGGATGGTCCTTGTTGGAATGGGGACCAGCAGTTCCAAAGAGGACCAGGCAGAAGCTGGGCAGGGAGCCAGGCAGACAGGCTTGGTCTCACGTCAGAGTTCAGATTGGAGAAGAAATGAATGTGCTCAGGGGGAAATGGAGGAAAAGCAGGGCAGGGGAGACTTCAGGCTCTGCGGTCCTGGTAGAGCCCAGGCTCCAAGGAATGTCTGTTCCTCCTTGGCCCCATGGTATGGAGGGACTGACTAGGGCTGGGCCTGCAGGCACCAGGGGCCGTCCATGCCCGGGTAGGGGTATGGCTCATTTGGGCATTCAAAACCCTCTAGACCAGTGCTGTGCCATAGAACATGCTGCAAAAATAAAAACTATGGTGTCACATGTGGCTATTGAACACTTGAAATATGATTGGTAGGACTAAAGAACTAGATTTTGAATTTTATTTAATTTTAATTCATTTTAAGTGGCCACATGTGGCTAGCCGTTACTGTATCGGACAGAGCAGGCCTAGTTCCTGTTCCCTGACTTACCTATCCACACATATCCTCCAAATCATGCACATGTCCCCTCCAGACCTGCCAGGCACATGGGGATGTTCTTCACGACACCCCGGCTTATTCTGCCACCTCATCGTTGCTTCTGCTGGCTCCACTCTTGGATGTCCTTCTCCCTCTCTTCTACCTCTCCAGCCTGACCATATGTTTTGTCTGAGCATGAGCCCATCTGCTCCCCAAGCCTTCCGTAAGAGCCCCAGTCTACACTGCTGCTCTCCATCACTGCCACCTGCAACCTTCGTCTGTGCTGCCGGTTCCAGGACTTCATAATATTCTGTCATAGCTCTCATTAGCGAGGCATTACAAAGATCCTTTATCACAGCATAAGTCTTGCTTATCTTCCTATTGTCATGAACCTCTGCCTTTCCATATGAGCTTCATTCTGTCATGAAGTTGCCAAATTGCCATTTCCTAAATACGCATGCATTCAAGTTTCTGGGCCTTTATGAGCGGTATCGCAGGTTTGAATGGTCCTTGGCCTCCTCCGTCATACCAGAGTCACTTACCCAGATTCTAGGACCCTCGTCTGCCCTAGACCTCCCACCCCTCAGACCTCCTATTGCCACATTCCCTCATCTCTCTTCTCTTCCGTCTCTCATTTCTTTGCTTCCCCTGCTTTCATGGCCCCACCTTCTATTTCTCATACTACCAGGAGAAAACTCCTAACTTGTGTTCTTTTTATGCACAGAGCCATTTAGCTTATCTGTTGAGCAATTTTTCTACCCAGACTGGTCTTGAATCTTTCCTCTCACAACTGAAACAGGTCCATTAAATGGACCTGTTGGTAAACACTTTACCAATTTGTCCCCTGAGCTGGAGTCTCAGCTCTAGCCCACGTTTAAGTCATTAGCAATTTTTCCCTTTCTGCTCAGTGAGTATGGGTTCCTGGGGGCAAGGACAGTACACTCTGGCCCCTCTAATCCCCCGGAGGGCCTATTAAAGTGTGGATACCCAGATATACCCAATGAATACTCATTGAATTGAATTTATTTGAATTGAGAAGATAAATCAAAGGCAACCAACCCATTTAGCTGCAAGGCTGCAAAAACATTTAGAAAATGAAAAGGAAAGCTGGTTTGGGGTAGGGGGAACTTATACAAATGCTAACGTTGGGCAAAAATTATAAAATATTTCTTAAACTTCATAAAGGCCCTTGTGTAAGTTATTATAAATCTTTAAACTGTAAAATTAATGCATTTTATGGAAGGCAAGCCCGCAGTACTTTTAAAAATACATGGCAGCCTCAAAGGAGTTTTATTCAAAGGAATGACACACCATGAATGTGGTAGTTAAAACATGTGGGCCGCTGGGAAAGAATTAGAATGTTGGAAAAAGTCACAAGGGGGGCATCTGTTGGTTATTCTGGGATTGCTTCCTAATGTAGAAGGAGCAACATTATTAAAAATGCTCATCTTTTGGGATGAACTAGGCACTTTAGCATCTAGGAAGGATCTAATTAAAGTATTTGGGACAAAATTATTGCAACTCACTGTTCTGAATGGAAGTTGATCACTGAAAAAAATTGGTTCTCTCCAAATGATCTTCTTTATCATGGTCCTTCAAGACTTCCAAAGTTTTCAATTTCCCATTCTCCTTCATTTTAGATACACATTTTTCTACAGTGGCATCGTGAGTGATGTTCATGTGACTGAGCGTCCTGCCAGAGTGGGCGTCCTGCTGGACTACAGCAACCAGAGGCTCCTGTTTATAAACGCCGAAAGTGGACAGTTGCTCTTTATCATCAGGCACAGGTTTAATGAGAGCGTTCACCCTGCCTTTGCCCTGGAGAAACCTGGAAAATGTACTTTACACCTGGGGATAGAGCCCCCGGATTCTACGAGGCACAAGTGATCCTGGGCTTTCAGAGTTTGAAAGAGCAATAACTCAAATGTAGGGGGTCTATTGTTATTTCCTTTGGGTGCTATACATTATTCAAAATGTCTCCCACACATCTGCAGGAATGACAGCTACATGCGCAGTGATCAGCCCATGAGCCAAACCACCAAGGAAATCTTGTCTTTCAAGGGCAGCGTGTGAGTAAAGAGGATGGAAAAAAACAACCTCCACCGTTTGGTTTATATACATTTGAGTTCTTCCCGAAATTCAAAGGATTTGTACCTGACTTGGGAACCAAAATAGAGAAATGGATTTCAACCTGTTTTATTGGTAAAGGAAAGTCTTGGATGGACAGGTCTGAGTGAAGAGGGAAGATTGTGCTAGGAATACATCTCCTCTGACAAACACAGACTTTTTCCACAAGAAAAATGTGACCTTTGCTTCATTCACTAAAGGATGATGAATCCTAATCATTAGAGAAAGTGTGTTAACCATTCTAAGTTGATAATGAACTCTTTTGTAATATATGCTGTAGAACACGGGTCTTTTTTCCCTGAAATTTTAAATGCAGTAAAGTGCTAGATATTAGAAATCTACAGTTTGTTAAATAAATGGTTAGAGTCTATAAAACAAAACATGTTATGTGAACTTATTATCTATAACTTAGCAGTCTGGCATCCCTGAACTGGGACAAGCTACAGAGTCAATAACTATCACATTTCAGTGTGTTGTACTACTATGAATTTCCATGTGAGAGTTTTACACAAATGTGGTTTTTTTAAAACTTTATTGGGGAACAGTGTGTTTTTTCCAGGACCATTTAGCTCCAAGTCAAGTTGTTGTTTTCAATCTAGTTCTGGAGGGCGCAGCTCGCTGGCCCATGTGGGAATCAAATCGGCAATCTTGGTGATATGAGCCTGCGCTCTAACCACCTGAGGTAACCTGCCACCCCACAAATGTGTTTTAAAGTCAACACTTTCAGCCCATAGTTATAGTCAACTGCTGGAAGCTGGGAATCTCCTTTTGCTAAAATAAAGTGGTTGGTCATTTTTCAATATTAAAATCTCTTAAAATCTTTCTAAAATATATGTGCAAAGTTGATAAATCTAGAATGCGTATTGAGATGATGGCTCTTATTTTCTATAATATAAATACTTGGATCATATTTATAGATTTTAACATTATGAATTCAGTTATCTGTTTTCTTGAATCAAGAAATAATATCCTACTTTGGAGATATATTCTAAAATCTATTGCTCAACAGCTAGAAAATCCAAACTGGATCTGTAACTGCATTAATGGAGCCCCTTTAAAGCCATACTACCCTGCTTTGAAGTTAGAGCTGCTGCTGGCAAGATAGATATTTAATGAAATAGGAGGAATAACTTGCTGCTTTGTAAAAAATGTTATCTTCACTTTTTTCAAGCTGTAAACGTGTTACAGGTTCTGAGTGATCAGCAACCTATGGTCATTACCGTGTGTGTGTGTGTGTGTGTGTGTGTGTGTGTGTGTGTGTGGTGTGTTGTGTGTGTAAATGTGGTGTAATTAAAAATAATAACAGTAGCAGCAACCACATGAATTTTAGAATTTGTCTCAGTTTGGATTCCTCCAAAAGTAGACCTCGAGATAAGGACTTAGTACTAGTTGTTTACAGAGGAGGTGATTCTGGGAAGCACACATGAGGAAGTGGGGAAAGTGAGACCGGAATGGGGAAGAGCCACTAAAGGACAAGTTTTATGAGTAGTTATTACCACTGTGAGCACCTGGGGCTCATTGTGCTGGGGGCACCTTTGGAAACCAGAGGCTGGCAATGGATGAGCATTGCCCCAGGGAGCATTAAATTCCTACCTCCCACCTTTCCTTGTTGCATTCCTTGTAAGCTTCCATGGCCCCAAGAAAGCCCTTCAAGGAAATGGAGAAATATAGGTGCCTGACACAGGACTTTTCAGCATGCTGACAACTGTCTAATGCAGCTGCTGGTACAGTCGAGTGAGCTGGGGGTAAATGGGGCAGAGCACCAGCAGCACGTGCCAGCAAGTTGGAAGCAGCTCTGGTGTTAAGGAGAAAGCCACGGTAATGAGAAGAATCCAGTTGGAATCTTGATTCAGCCCTTGCTAGGTGATGGTTTTGGACACTCAGATTCTTTAGTTATGCCTTTTTCTCAGGGTAATTGTAAACATCAGGTAAAATTAGCACATGAAATGGCACAGCATTTTGTAGTTTATAAAATCTTCTTGACAAGGGACTCCAGAGATCCCCTAAGGCCGACCTCTACCATGTCCCTGGTGAATGGCCCTCCTGTCTCTGACTCCATGGCAAGTGGATGGTGGAAGGTAGGACCCTGGGGTCAGGAGATCCATGTTTTAGTTGCCTATGTCTATTACCTGACAGGAGATTTCCTGGTTGGCTTCTAGAGGATTACTCCAGTACAGACAAGTAGAGTAAAGTTAATGTATTTCCCCTCATTCTCAAGCAATTCTTTCTTCCAGGGCGCTTCTTCTCTTAGTCCATGTTCTTTCTTCTTGTCCTTTCTCTTTACACAACACAGACTCTCAGAGAGAGGAAAGGAAGTCAACAAATTCTGGTCAAAATTGCCCCTTCTGGAAACCTGTCAGTAGTGTTTATTTAATAACATGTGTGGCACATGCATTATCTTTTCTAATCTTCATCAGTACCTTGCACAGTAAAAATTGTTATTTTATAGATGAGGAAACCAGCCTCAGAGCAGCTAAATAACTTGTCCACAGTCACAGCCGGCAGGTGGCAGAATGTGGATTTACAATAGATAGAGCTTCAAGTCCTGAGCTAAGAGAATAAAATGATTATATTTTGTTTCATTTTGTATCACTGATCATTTTTTCCACATATATTGGTGTGTGAAAATTACATGTGTGTATATGTGCACATACACACTCTTACATGCACATATACATATACATTCCCACCTGAAATGACTTCTTTTCCAAGCCTCTGTTTTGCTGTTGATGCTGTCATGAAATTACCTTTGATATTTTATTCAATACCAATTACCTTAATTAGGATTCAAAAGAGTCTATAACATTCTATTTGTGGAGAAAATATTTTCATACATGAAACCACAATACTTCTACTGGGAGATACAAGGGAAAAATAAAAACGTTTGTGGGAGAAAGAAAAAGAAACGAGGATTAACACTGTGGTCCTTCTCTATCTGTTAGCATACACACGGGGCAACCCTCATGGATATCTTCTTTCTCAAAGGTAGAAATATTTGTCTATTGGAGCAAACCAGAACATGTCCCTGTTTTTCTGGAGGTGCTTTCATAACATCTAACAGGTATTGTACTTCATCACACCCACTTATAAAACTGTGCTTTAAGCATTCAATACTATTAGGTTGGTACAAACGTAATTGCAGTTTTTGCATTGTTGAAATTTGCCTTTGATATTGGAATACATTCTTAAATAAATGTGGTTATGTTATACATCATTTTAATGCACATTTCTCGCTTTATGTTTTTTTTATAATGACATTACTTGCTGTGTATATGTATTTTAACTATGGAAATGAGGTTAGGCAAAAAGCAAATTCAAGTGACTTTCTTATTTTACTTCAAAATGGATCATAAAGCAGCATAGACAACTCGCAACATCAACAATGCATTTGGCCCAGGAACTGCTAACGAATGTCCAGTGTAGTGGTGGTTCTAGAAGTTTTGCAAAGGAGACGAGAGCCTTGAAGATGAGGAGCATAGTGGTCAACCACTGAAAATTGATAACGGCCAATTGAGAGCAATCATCGAAACTGATCCTCTTAACACTAAACGAGAAGTTGCCGAAGAACTCAACGTTGACCATTCTACGGTCCTGAATTTGAAGCAAATCAGAAAGGTGAAAAAGCTCAATATGCGAGTGCCTCATTAGCTGACCGCAAATCAAAAACAATTGTTGTTTTGAAGTGTCATTTTCTCTTATTCTATGTAAGAACAGCAAACCATTTCTTGATAGGATTGTGATGTGTGACAAAAAGTGGATTGTATACAACAACAGGCGATGACCAACTCAGTGGTTGGACCAAGGAGAAGCTCCAAAGCACTTCCCAAAGCCAAACTTGCACCAAAAGAAGGTCACGGTCACTGTTTGGTGGCCTGCTGCTGGTCTGATCCACTATAGCTTTCTGGGTCCCTGAGAAACCATTACATCTAAGAAGTATGCTCAGCAAATGGATAAGATGCACCAAAAACTGCAAGGCCTGCAGCGGCATTGGTCAACAGAAAGGGCCCAATTCGTCTCCACGAGAATGCCTGACCACACGTCACACAACCAATGCTTCAAAAGTTGAACAAATTGGGCTACGAAGTTTTGCCTCATCTGCCATATTCACCTGACCTCTTGCCAACCAACCACCACTTCTTCAAGCATCTTGGTAACTTTTTGCAGGGAAAATGCTTCCACAGCCAGCAAGATGCAGAAAATGCTTTTTAAGAGTTTGTCGAATTCCAAAGCACAGATTTTTACACTACAGGAATAAACAAGCTCATTTCTCGTTGGCAAACGTGTGGATTGTAATGGTTCCTATTTTGACTAATAAAGATGTGTTTGAGCCTAGTTATAATGATTTAAAATTCACAGTCTGAAACTGCAATTACCTTCACACCAACCTAATAACATCCTCCCATCAGAGAAGCATCCTTCAGGCCTCAGCGGCCTGTATCTCAAGTCCCTTCTCATTCTTACGGTGCTAATTACTCATTAATCATTTCAAGTGTCCAGTTGCTGAAAGTACAGAACTCAAGCAGTTTATACTCATGGAGGAGCTTCATCACAGGCAGAGGATACAGTGCAGCCACACAGAGGAAGGATAGGTTATTGAATGAGATCCTGATACCACAAGTGCAGGCTTGTTTGTCCTTCCACTGTCAGGCTGCACAGAATGCACATTGCCTCCAGGCCTCAAACCACCACCAGTGTGAAACTCCTCAGTACCAGGAAGCCCACGTTCTGTTTCTAGTGCCCCCAGAAACAGGTGGGGCGCTCACAGTGAGCTGGTCACATAAGTACTTTCTAGCTATGCAACCATCCCTAACCTTTGAAACTCACCTCCCTGCCTCCCATGGGCTCCACCCAAACCAGTGCAAATCATAAATGCAATGATTATTACTAAATGACACTCACAGACTGATAATCCTGCTTCAAAACAACTAATGGATCCATGGTTTCAGAATGTCATTTATTTTTAGTTAGTAGATTCTGTGGCATTGGGCAAGGGTTAGTAGCTCTGCAGATATGCATGTGGTGTCAGTTAAGACTTGCAGAAATGAACCCATGCTAGGCACTTGCTGTCCTGCTTTCTTGAGTTCAGCTGCTGGGGGATGTTTGAAGAATAACAATAGTAAGAACAGAGTGCCTCTGCTGCCCATAGCCATCCATCCCCTCATGTCCCTGATTTGGTGACTGCTAAGGAGTGATCCCAGGTGCATCCCTCAGCTAAATGAAATCGGATCTGATTTCCAGCCCCCTGCATAATGCTCAGGAGGGAACACATTTTCTGGGCTGGTTTCAGCATAGGAGATCAATACCTCTCATTTTCCTTTACTACCGTCAGAGTGTAGGTGGTTGTGCCCCTCTTTTATATAAACTTGTTTTGGTCT